CAGAGCCGCCGCGCTCAGGGCCAGGCCTGCAATCTGCCGGACCTGCCCGAGATGCAGCTGCCCTGAGTGCCGGGGCCGGGAGGCACAGGCCACCATGGCTCCACCGCTCCCCACGGAGGGGAGGACGACGCCGTCGGAGCACGGGATGGGTGAGGTCGGGCCCCGCAGGCAAGGTGGTGGCTGGAGGGACGGTCCCCAATGGGGACGGACGGCTCCGGGGGCACCTCGTCGATTGGGATCTCCACGCAGCCGGTCCGCGATGCTGCTCCAGCAGCTGTACCTGCTCTTGCCCGGCACCACAGTACAACTGGAAGGCGATGGCTTTCTGGCTGCAGGGAGGTTGTTTACCGGGTCGCCAGGCAGATTGCTTTGCAGCGGAGAAAACCCTTTTCCGTTCAGGCCTTCAATGCTGAAAGTCACTGTGAATCGAAGCCCTGCGCTTGGAGCACGTGCGCAGACTATGCCGGTCCGCAGGACGCCGTTGGATTACCACGTACATCGCTCGTTTCACTGTAGTTGGTCCACTCTGGATTTTTTTTCCTTTTTTCTATACCTCAGTCCCTCAATTTTTTGTTTTCCAGGAGATTGGATAATGCTGCTAGTTTACAGAACACCACTTTTGCCTGAATTTCTTACTGTTGTTCTACCAGCTCACGTCACGGCTAGTAAGATATTTGTCGTGTTTTATTTTGGTTAAGTGCAGATACATTTATACGGTTTTTACTCCCTGTAGCCAAGTATTTTTCAGGTTACAGACACAGAATCCTTACTTGTTCTTTTTTTTTGGCTGTTTTTGTTTCAAGTGATGTAGTTGTGTATGTTTCTATAGATGAAGACAAGCAAACAAGCATAGAACAGTGTACGACAGCAAACTTTGTGGTTTTGCTAGGTGGTGTTCCAATGTGGCGAACCTGAAACGTACGCTCACAATGACACAAGCGGTGTTACAAGCCCGTAGGGTCAGCAATAAATTGTATTTTTGTAAATTGTCACTTTTTAACTATATGTTTATATTTATGAATTGAAAAAACAGTTTATTCCTCAGTGGGTGTATAGTTAAATGTCCCTACTGTTCGTGTCTTTCCAAAGGAAAAATGAAAATGTACATTTTTGAGGAGTTAGTAGCTGATTGCTAACCTTGGGCACTGTCAGAGCCCTAACACAGGAGATGGGTGAGGCCGTCACTGTAAGTTTTTCTAGAAAATAGTGAGTTAGGACCGGGTCCACCTGGCAGTAAAGCTCCGTCTGACAGTCAGAGCAAGGTTTAGGGACGGGTTAGTCCATAACCTTGGCTGAGCCCAAGCAAAGCGCACTCTTTTATTTGCCTTTTTCTTTTTTTTGGCATATGTTTGATTTTTTCCTTGTGCAAGCCATGTGTGTGGCTCTTCGCAGCGGCTGGACACTGGTGCTTACTGATAGAGCAGCCTTTGGTGCGAGCAGCCCCCGTCTTTCAAGAAAAGGGGGGGGAAGTGGAAAGTTAGCATGCAAAAAAAATAGGTATAGCTAATAGTACATAGATCTATAGTGAGAGGTAGCTAATGCAGGAGCTGTGCATGTAGCTGGCTGGCTAGCTCGTGTTCCCTGACCAGCCACACACATGTTCTGCGCGGCAGCACGGGGAGGGTTTCGTTATCTTTGGGGCCAGGCGCGCGCGCGTGGGCTGGGCAGTGCGAGGATGGAGAATCCTGATGGGTTGAGCCTGAGCGGAGCGGGCTGGGGCAGCCCGCATTTCCCCGAGAGCTCAGGAACGAAACAGGAGCGCGACGGCTCTGCCCCAGACGTGGTTTTGGCTGCGTGGCCGGGCGCAGAGTGACTCACCGCTCGCCCGATGCACAAGGGGCTTTTCCCCACCCGCCGGGTTTTTCCTGGGGAGGGGGACGGGGCTTTGGTGTGCTGTTGCCCGTGGTGGTGGTGGGAGGACAGGGTGCCGGAGCAGGGTCCACCTGCAGCAGCCGGGAGCTTTTGTGGGGCTGGTGCAAGGCACGGAGCTGCTTTGGGGTTTTGGCCACGTGAACGAAAGCTGTGCAAGCCCCCGACTTTCCACGCAGCCCACCCCTTGGCAAAAGCATCGGCATGGGTTGGCTTTGGCTGGGGCACTTGGGCATGCACCTCCCAGGGATGCCAGCGGTGACGGGTCGAGGGCTGCAGAGCAGGCAGAGGGAAGGTGCAGCCTCCCCGGCCACGAGCAGAGTTTTGCGGAGCGCAGTGGGCCATAGGACGGAGCTGAGGATGTGCCCGGCAGCCCTCAGCCCTGAGGGTACAGCATCAGGGCTGGTGCCTTGCCAGTGGAGTCCCTGGCTGGGACACAGCCCGTGGCACTGGGGTGGCTGAGCAACCATTCTTGGGCACAGCCTGAACTGGCCCCCCCCATTTCAAACCCCTACAAGGCACCGTAGCTACAGCAGAGCCATGGGCCAGGGCCACCCAGCTGCTGGCAGTGGGACGTGGAGCACTGTGAGCTGAAACAGCAACAGCCTCAACCCTCAGCTCTCGGAGCCGAAGTCCCTGGGAGGGTGCGGGGATCTTTCCTGCCCCAGGCAGTTTCTGCTGCAGTGTCAAATGAGGTCTGCAGCAAGGGCCAGCACAGAGCCTTTGAGGTAGGAAATAATTTTTTTATCTGTTTGTTTTTTAGCACTATTACTTTTAGGGGCTCCCCCTCCCCATCCCCAGACAGTAGGGCTGCTCATGAGGTTGGGGCAGGAGGGGTTGCTGTATTTTGGGAGTTGTTTGGGGGTATTCTTTTTTCCCCGTAACTTTGGCACATAATGTTAGCAGGGAGGCACACACATACTTATGTCAGGGCTCTGCTATTGTACACGATTTGTGGCCCAGTGTGGCTGGCAGGAGGGAAAGGCTGTGTATTTCCCTGTCTTGCCCATTAGACCTGCATCATCCCAACACACCACCATGGTTGTCCTGCAGTGTCTCATCATCGTACGTGAGCCCAGACATGGCAGGAGTCACGCAAATGTCTCTTGGAGGTGGGGGTGGTTGGGGTGGGGGACCCGGGGGGGGATGTGGTGGGTTTTTTTGTTTTTTTTTAACAGGGCTTGGTGGGAGGTAGCCAAGGCAGAGCAGTTTTCTGTCATTGCTGTGGCTTTGAAAGCAAGTCCGACAAAAGGGGGTTGGAAGGGGCTTGGAGGGTGGTGGGTGGCTGGACAGGGCTGTGTCCATGGCACAGCCCCTCTGATGGGAGCGCTGGGCTGCGCAGACAGG